GAGAAAGGGATTAAGTAAGTAGATAACTTGGAAAAATGCTATAAGTAAATGGATAAACGTAATTACAGGGGAATGGGTAACCTGCTGCTGTTGGTACCAGTTTTGTCTGGATGACTAAATAACATACAATAAAAGTCTGGCATGCGCCCTTGGCCCTTTGCTCACGATTTTCCTGTGCCATTCTCATTTTTTAGCGCCAATGGCGCAGGCAGATCTCTGCCTCACCTCAACATTGTATTATGCAAAATGGATGCTCTGATTGAAACTTGAAACTTTTTATTTAATTAAACGCCTGTTTCTATTTAACAATATTCAACTGCGTTGTACAGTACATATAATAAGAATCAACGTCAAATGAAATAAAAGCTTTAACATACAATTCCAATTAACATATTTTTAAAAAATTTTAGAGACCTTAAAATGATAAAACTGATATACATGTAGCATGAGATAAGATTATTTACATACATGTAACTTGATTACAAATAGATTAAAAAGAATAAAACATTCATTTACATTGCACATTCATCACACTGTCAGTCATCAGTTGTACGTTACTCATGTTTATCTCATTTCAGATTTTAAAATAGTGATTCATACTTTCTGAAAAAATGTGTTTTAAGATTTCTCTTAAATACATCAATATTTTTAGATTGTTTCAACTCTAATGGCAGCGGATTCCACAATTTTGGACCAATGGTTCCGAAACTTCTGTCACTAAATGTTTTTCTTTTATTGAATGGAATAACGTAGCAGTTCTCAGAGGTTTTAGCTGAACGTAGTCGGGTATTTGGTACTTGTTTGGTTAGGAGTTCAGAAAGGTATTTTGGAGCATGACCGATTGAACAATTGTATACAAAAGTCAGAATTTTATATTCGATTCTAGATTTGATGGGCAGCCAGTGAAGGTCGAACAATGCTTGCATTGAACTGTCAAATTTCTTTCGTTGCAGAACTAACTTAGCGCACATGTTTTGAATACGTTGCATTTTTTTCAATTCAAAATCGGATACACCATAAAGAATGACATTGCAATAATCCAAGTGTGACATTACGAGTGCTATTACTAGTATTTCTGCTGCTTCTTTGGTGAGGTATTTTCGGATACGTTTTATTCTAAGATAGTTTAACATTGCAGTACGGCACTTTCGTTTGACATGTTCCTTGAAATTTAGTGTTTGGTCTAGAAATGCGCCTAAATATCTAATGGACTCTTCGGAGTTGATCTTATCTCCGTTTATACAAATGGATTTTAGGTGACACTTTTCGAGTTGTTGAGAACTTCCAAATGTTATGAATTCTGTTTTCGATGAGTTCATCTTGAGTTTATTGGCGTTCATCCAGTTGTTGATATCAATCGCACCATTTTCTAATTCAGCGATTGCAGAAATTTCACTATTTTCTTCAGTCGGTTTAAAACGTTTGGTTGCAGTATGGTCATCAGCGAATCCATACACCGATAATCCAGATGGAATCACGTCAAACAAGGTTCCCGCATACGTTAGGTAGAGCCAAGGCCCTAAACAACTACCCTGGGGGACACTGCACTCTAGTTGCCGTGGAGCTGAGACCGCCGAGTTGACACACACGCGACAGCCTCTTGGACGAAGGTATGAATCAAGCCAGCTGAGCACTGAACCGCTCACGCCGTACTGCTTCTGTAGCACGTCGACGAGTATATCATGATCCACAGTGTCGAACGCGGCACTGAGATCAATCGCGATTAGCGCTGTAACTTCTTGTTTTTCCATGGCTGCCAACAGATCATTAACTAATCGCAGTAGCGCAGATTCACAGGAGTGGTATTTTCTGTAGGCGGATTGGTTTGTAGGTAGTAAGTCATACTGATCAGCATGTTTATTTAGTATTTTCAGAGCTGCATTTTCAATCAGTTTTGATAAAAACGATAGATTACTAACAGGTCTATAATTTGAGAATACAAGTTCAAGTCCAATTTTCTTCAAAAGTGGTCTCACGATAGCCTCTTTCCATTTATTTGGAAATATTCCTTGCTGTAGTGATAAGTTTACCAGTTTTGTTATAATTGGGAGTAGTTCTCCAAGGAATAGTTTTAATATTGCTGTCGGTAATATGTCCAATTCACAACATTTTGTCTGTAGTTCATTTATCAGCTCTTTAACATTATCATTTGAAAATTCATCAAAGGTAAGAAGAGATGGAACGTTTCTAGTATTTGGCTCGAATTTATCAAATGGTTTCAGGTCATCACGTATTTTCTCTATTTTATTCATGAAAAATGAGGCAAAGTGTTCGGAGAGCTCACTATCACTGTACCCAGGTGACATTGGGTTTTCTGATTTAGTTCCTGTTAACTCAGACACTAACTGGTACAGCTTCTTGGAATAACCCTTTGTATTAGTTACTTTTTCACTTATTACTTTTGTTTTCTCTTTTTCGAGTTCATCATTGTACTGGTTCTGAGACTTTTTGAATAATTCATATTGTTGTGGTTGACGATATTTTCTCCATATTTTTTCAGCTTTCCGAGTCGATGTTTTAAGGGTGAGAATTTCGGGAGTGAACCATGGTTTAGGAGCTCTAATTACTTTTGTTATCTCTTTTTCAGGTGCATGAGTGTCCAGAACGTTCTTTATTTTATTTTCAAACTCATTCACGTATAGATTAATATCACTCTGATCTATTGTAATTTCACTGAACTCTTTTCTAACAGATGACTCGTCCATGTTTTTAAAGTTTCTAAATTTGACTGACTTACTGATTATGTTTTCTTTTTGAACATTTGTGACACATTTTATTGCTCGATGATCAGACACATAATCACCAGGTTCACATGCCACAATTTCAACCCCATTGACTGCTTCCGTAATAACAACGTCAAGAGTATTGCCAAAAACTTGTGTGCCAAAGTTAACATGCTGCACCAAACCCATAGCGAATAAAGAGTCTTTAAATTCTGATATCACGCCATTTTCTTCATTCAGATGTAAGTTAAAGTAACCCAGTGTTAGAAGATTGGAATATTGAGGCATAATCCCTTCCATGAATTGGAAAAAGTCAGAAATAAATTGTGAATTTGTTGACATGGATGGTGGTCTATAAATGCCAATTACATGCATTGTATGCATTGTAATGTTTTTGAATACCAGTTGCCAAATACCAAATTCGAAACAATTTGTCACTCCAGATTTCAATTTCCTCATATTCACAACGGTGCGACAGGTCAAAGCAATCCCACCGCCGATTCGGTTCTTTCGATTGGCTACACTAATTTTATAACCGTTTTGATTAAGGTCACTAGTTTCATATTCATGCTGATTTTCGTCCGAATACCAAGTTTCAGTGAGGAGGGCAAAATCAAGTTTCTGTTCTCGTAGTATCTGACCAACACGAACATCCTTGTTTCGAACGGAATGACAATTAACAGTTATGAAAGATACTTTTTCATTGAATCTGTTATTCAGTGTATTACATTTCTTTGGATATATGAGATTATGAGAGTTAATCCCATTTTGCTTTGTTAGAGGTTTTGATTGTCCACCCCTCTTTCTTTTCCTTTTTTTCCAGCCGGGGGCTATATCCAATTTATTTATTGTATAGAACACAGATTGATCAGGCTTATAATATCTTCAGTGGTTTGTGACATTTAATCCAATGTTCAATAATTGATCACGGCTGTAGGCAATTTTGTTTGTTGAAATATTTTTGGTTTGTAAAATGTCTTCTCCATTATGATGTAAAAATTGTCCAAAATATTCAGTTGAAGTATGAGTAGCCCATTCAATCAATGACACAGCCAATAAATAAACACAAACAAAGATACACACCGCATTCATTATCACATATGTACACTTTCAGTCAAATCTAAATAGAAATGAACTAGCAATTAAATATAATTCAAGAGCACAAAATAACACGTCTGCTTCATACAGCGACAAACAATTGATTGGCTAATGCCGATAATGGGCGGTTACGGATAACAAGCAACTTTGGATTTAACGTTTTAAGCAAATAGCGGATGAGTCTTGCACCTGTTATCATCGGAAATTAAATTATTCAACTGAAAAAAAAAAAAGAAAATTATTCAACTGATGAAATTAAAGTAATCAAACGGTACATAGAAATCACTTATCTTGATATTTTGGATTATAAACTACCAGATTCACTGTTGTACAGCGTCCACCGGATATAGCCCCTAAAAACACCGAAAACGAAAGTAGAAAGCTGCACAACGAGTACACCCAAGGTAATGTTTTAACTTATTTCTTCATCATAACTTCATCAATTTTTCCAAATTAAACAATATTGTGAAGCTAAATATGTCTAATTTTAGAGCAGTGTTTGCTATTGCCTGCAAATTAAATACTTTTTGTTAGATTAGTGATAAAATGTAGCGTATTTGTTGACATTTGCGAACAATGTTGATATTTACCACTAAAGCAAGCACAAACGCATTTGCTGTATCAAATTCCGCCGTTAATACAAACTATAGTCATCCCTCTACTAATATTTAAGTTTTCACCCTTCAACTCGAGCTGCTTTTAACAAAATTTTCGAAAAACTGCCTTGCCTTGTGTACAGATTCTAGCACGGATGTGTCCGGGGTGTGGATGGAAAACTGATAGCGATTGTAAGGGGTGTTGTAGGTAAGCGAATGTTTTCTGCAAAATATATTCAGTACCAGAGTATATACACGTGCGCTGATAAAGAAAACGATTTATGTCGGCATCAGGGATTGTGAAGTGAATCATTTTAATTTTATTAAGGATAAAAATGTTTAATTAAATTGTCAACATGTTACGCAACATGTATATTAATTGCAGTAAACAGTTTCCGTCCTGCTATACCACTTTTTATGCGTGACTATAAGTTAATAGGGTAAATATAAAACTCAAAAGACCACAATTTCATTCCATATTTATTAGAACATTATGAACAGAAAATTCTATAATTTGTCTTAAACAATTTCAAACCATGGTCGTGTTATGCATTGTGAACTAAACTTGATTATAAGCATTAGAGATAGCGTGCGTATCGGCGTCATTTACGCAAGCAAATACTCAGGATACGCCAGCTTCGTCATCATTTTGGCGTATATTTACGCATACTAATTACAGTTTACGCATTTAGTGAAACAAATTTGGCGTAGGCAATGTTTACATTGACACCGATAAAAATGACAGACTGGTTAGCGTACTGTTCTATAAAGGTGTGTTATTTTCTCAGGCTGGGTTTATAATTGCAAACCAGTTGACATTGTATCACATTGTATCACTGAGACGCTCGGTAATAGATGTATATAAGATAAATCAAGCGTCTGTCACGTTATTGAAGTAGACGAAAAAATATTGTCAAATTTTATCAAATTATCAAATCGTTTACATCGAAAATGTCTTGTTCAAAACCCAAACAACGAAAAATCGACACATTCTACCGTGTAACAAGCCCAGTGTCTTCTCAGTGTGTTATTCAGCCAATTATTGAAGACATTTTGACTTTTGTTTGCAAGAGCAAAAAAACTCATACGACAGCATTAGACGCTACGATCAAATCATGGTGTAAAGGTTTCCCGTGGCTGTCTGTAACGTCAGATACGACAGATGTGCGTTTGAAATGTGCCTTGTGTTGTAAGCACAAAATGGGTGGAAAATGGGCCACAGAAGGGGTTCTCAACATCCAAAAGTCTAACATTGAACGGTAAAAAAATAAATTAATTGCAACATTTTATTTTGTACCTAGCTCCTCTTTTTAAAGAAAAAATTACAATGAAACTAAGTTATACCTCACACCTTATTTAATTTCATTTATATGTTAGATAAATTACAGTAATTTAAATTTAAAATAAAACAGTAATCTCAACATATAATTTGGTAAATAAATTGTTGATTATTAGCCCACAAGCTAAAAGAATTCAGTGTAGGTCACAACTGTTTGCATGTATACATTTACTTCATTTCACATAAAAATGGTTCAAGTTCTTATAATATGCCTTAAACCTTAATATAAATAATACCTTGCCATGCTGCAATATTTCTGATAAATTATAAAACTGACTACTGAGAGCAGTTTCTGATTTTTTTTTCAGACTGTAATGTAAAAATACAATGGATCATAATATTTTTATAGCTTTCACCAAACATAGGTTACAATTTTGCCTAATCCTAAATCAGTCTTTTATTTTATTTTGACAGGCACTGTACCAGCAGAGAACATCTTGATGCTGAAAGGGTGGAAATAAAAAAATCATCTGGTATAATTTCTGAGTCAGAGAATGAAGATGATGTTGGTGATTTGTCAAAACAAGATTTATTTCTTTTCCGCACCATATATTGTCTTATGAAAAGTGAAACCCCCCTAAATAGATTAGATACTATACTAGAGTTACAGCGACTAAATGGTGTTGACCTAGAGTATCAGAACTTAAGCTGGACAACAGTTTCTGAAATTCAAAATATCATTGCAGATGGGTTTACAAAGGACCTTGTTAGTGAAATTAATTCTTCAAACTTTTATGCAATTCTCATTGATGAAAGTACTGACATTAGGGTAAGCAAAAGGTTATCAATTTGTGTAAGATATGTAAAGAATGGGCAACCAGTCACAACCTTTCTAGCAAGTACAGAAATCAGTGATGGAGGTGCATATACTGTTGTAGGGGCAGTGCATAGTGTTATTTTATCGTTAGGGTTAGACTTAACAAAGTGTGTCTCTCTGGCTACCGATGGGGCAAGTGTTATGATGGGAAAAAAGACTGGTGTAGGCGTCCAAATGAAAGCCAAATTTTCTCCATACATGACACAAACCCACTGCATTGCTCATAGATTGAACCTGGCAATAGGTGATGCCATTAAGAAGAATGAAACTTTGAAAAAATTTAAACAGATGTTTGAAACTTTGTACCATTTCATGTCTGCATCAACTTTACGGATTAATAAACTTAAGGCTGTGCAGGATATACTTAATGAACCTGAAATAAGTATTAAGGAGCCTCATTCAATCAGATGGTTAGGGCTTAAAAAAGCTGTAGAAGCTGTATATGATTGTTATGGTGCCTTGTTAGTAACTCTTTCATCATTTGCTTGTGACAATCCAACTGCAAAGGGACTTCATAAATATTTTTCCACATACAAGTCAGCATTACTGATAGGATTAATGATGGACATACACACAGAACTGGGTGTACTATCATGTGAGTTACAACGCCAAAGCCTTGTCTTCTCAGATGTTTATCCACTTCTCGAAGGAACAGTTGGAAAGTTGGAATATATGAAAGAACATGATGGTAATGGTTTACATGAAATGAAAGACAGCATCGAGTTTAAAACTCAGTCAGATGATGAGGGAGAACCAAAGCCATTTTATAAGGGTGAAAGTTTGAAATATTATAAAAAAGGTAACTCTGATTCTGAATTTCAAGCTGTGAAAAATGATTACATTGACAGTTTAGCCAGAAATATTAAGAAAAGAATCAGTAAAGTTGACTGTAATGTTTTATGTAGTTTAGGACTCTTGCTGGAACCTGCCTCTTATAGTACAGAATGTGATAATGCTGTAGAGTATGTAGCACAAATGTATGGTACACATAAAGTAACAAAGAAAACAGTTGAAGATGTTGTAATAGAAACTCCTTACTTAATGGTGATGAACTGAAAACTGAATGGCAAGGCATTAAAGCAATGGTAACTGGGTGTTATAAATCATTGTCACTAAAGGCATTTTGCAGAAAGATTATTCAGAGTTCACTGTCAACAAGCTATCCCAACTTTGCAAAGCTGGCTGAAATTGGACTCTGCATGGAAGTCACCAGTGTAGAATGTGAGCGGACATTTAGTGCACAAAACAGACTAAAAAGTAAATACAGGTACATTTCTGTTTGTTTTAAATTAAAACTGTGTGAATGTATATGTATAACAAAATACATGAAAATTATATTTTATTATTATATTATAATTAAGAATATATAATATTGGCACATTATAAAACAGGCAATAATTTATTGAACATGATGATATTTTTAATCACAAAATCAATGTACTTATATGTATAATAGGTGTAAACTTTTAAAACAAAGAAATTGGTATGTGATTAATTTGGCACAAATCAAAATACTTGGTATAATGTATTTCTTATCCTGTTTTTCAGAGCTGCCCTGAAAGAAGAATCCTTAGAGGCTCTCCTTACTGTGTCACTAATTGGCCCAACACTCAGCCTGTTTAAGCCAGCAGGCAGTGTGAGGAGATGGGTTAGGGCAAAGCAGAGAAGGAAAAGGAGGCTAACTGCACCTTACAAGTCAAGAACACTAAAAAACATTATGTCTAAATGTGTATGAAGTGTAAATACATGATACCAATAAATACAAGTGATCTAATGATACATTTTGTTTGCAGTATGGTTCCTAAGTTTAGATGCGGCAAATTGACTCCCAAGTTCTTAAAACTGAGAGTAAATTTTACTCCTTCATTTGGCCAGAAACTGGCAGTTTACTCTCAAGTCTAAAAAACAGAGAGTATTGACTCTTGAGTAAAAATAATTATCTAGAACACTGATTGATATAAACATGTTATATTTGTTTATTATGTCACCGGTCTTAAGACTTCATTAAAAAACAAACATTTGTTAATGAGCTTTCGTAAAATATCTGCCTTGATTAGTTAGGTTAATCATTAGATTTATCTTTGTGGAAATACTATATTACTGGCTATATAAAGTCCTTCATATTTTTTTGCAGTCAAACTCTGGTGACCTCACTTGTGATTTCGATATTCAGTTTAATAAATACAATGCTTCCGCTTAAAATCCCATATATGCTGCTGTTTTTTCTAAAACTGTTTTATAGAAGACAGCTAATGCTAAAGCCGTTTTGTAGAAAATGACAGTCCTGCATAATCTTTTAATCAATTTTCCACCTCCTACCTTATGTGTAGGTTAGTTATACATGTACATATAAATATATCCACATTCGGACCTTCTCCATTCAGCGAGTTGGTTTAGAAGACTCCTCAACATGTCTTATAAATACCGAAAGACACTATTCAGCTGATGGTTGTGATGGTATGATAATAAAAATTAAACGCAGCTATACTGTTAGGCTCAAAAACACTAAAAACATAAATTATTTACCAAATACCTCTGTATCGTTTTCGTATTTTTTATAGATTATTTCCAATTACAAATGATAAAAACTTTATACTTTATAAATATGTGACTGCTAGACACCGTACACATCTTCTAAACTCTGTACAATAAACTACTACACCCCATTCACTTAAATTTGTTTTCTTTGCTAGACTCTGTACACAAGGCAAGGCAGATTTTTGCGAATTTTGTTAAAAGCAGCTCGAGTTAAAGGGTGTAAACTCATATATAAGTAGAGGGATGACTATAATTTGTGTAAAACGGCGAATTTTGATACAGCAAATGCGTTTTGGGCTTGATTTAGTGGTAAATATCAACATCGTTCGCACATGTCAACAAATACACTACACTTTTTTGCCAAGTTAACAAAAAGTAGTCAATGTGCAGACAAAAGCAAATATTGCTCTAAAACCAGAATCATTAAGCTTCACAAAATTGTTTAGTTTGGACAAATCGATGAAGTTATGATGAAGAAATAAGTTAAAACAATACCTCGGGTGTACTCGTTGTGCAGCTTTCTACTTTCATTTTCGGTGTTTTAAGGGGCTATATCCGGAACATTTTATAATAACAAATAAGACTATATACCAAGGTAAGTCTATACGCAATCATTGAAGTAAGTATTTTACAACAATATTCAAAATTTGATGTTGTTATAATATTTTCGACCTTGTACCTGTTTGTAATCGTGTAATACTTTCGACCTTATAGCTGTTTGAATTGAAAAAAAGTATCATGCAATTTTCATTATAATCCTTTATATATACTAAACATTTGTATTCATAAATATATTACACGATAATCTCCTGTACTTAGCAAGTGATATTATCATCTCTATCTCATGTTTGTGAGACATTAACTGACCAAACTTTATAAAATTCGACTTTTTGTCTGTTTTTCACGGATCGAATATAACAATTACGAAATTCATGTGTATACTGTTGAAAAATAAGCTTTCTTCAAAACAAAATTGATTTTGTTTCCGGATTTATTGAAATAATCTTGAAAAACAAAATTTATCTTTCATAAAATATGTTTAAGAAACCAAGTGAAAAAAGCTTTTCTATATATAAAAAATAGCTTCTTTGACTTTTCAGCTTCTTTGTTTGGTTAAAAAACATGGGTAAATGTACGATCTTTAAATGAATTGTTACTTCTTTAGGAAAGTGAAAATTAGCCTCTGTCAGTTTCAAAACGTGAAGATGGAACAAATATTTATATACTTTAAATGTCACTTTTCTAACACTGTGTTTTCTTCTGGTTTCATCGACATATATACGACAAAAAGTCGAAATGAGAAAACGATTAGTTTATATATTCAATCCAATGTAAGATGAGTATGAATAAATATTGCAAGGTATGAGTCGATGTAATTATTCTTCATTGTGGTTTCCCCTTTTTAAGTTTGGGGACGTGAAATGGGAATTATTATAATATACTGAAAATGTCACTTTTGTAAAACTGTCACTTTTTTCTAGAATCATCGACATATATACGACATAAAGTCGAATTGAGAAAACGATTAGTTTATATATTCAATCCAATGTAAGATGAATAAAGATTGCAAGGTATGAGTTGATGTTATTATTCTTCATTGTGGTTTTACTTTCATTTAAGCGTTAGTCCAGACACTGTTAATAATATTATTTTCTTCGAATACTCAATATGCACAATATAAGCTGTAGAAAATGACAACTAATGTTTTAAACACTAAAATGTGTACCTACGTTTTCTCAAAAAAATAATAATAAAATAGCAAGTTATATGCTGCTCTCATCTTTATGTCAGAGTTAAAGAATATCAACCAATAAAAACTTATCCAAATGTTGTCTTCAAGACTATTTTTCTGATGTTTCTAATATTTATCTTTTATTATTTAATTTATATTTTTCTAATATTTGTAATAGAAAAAATAGTTTTCAACCAGTATGTAGTAAACGGTACAATATCAATATCTCTGCCACTTTAGGCCATATATTCGTGAAATATTTATATAGAACAGATACCGAAGCTTGCCCTGTTAGCCTCGTTCTGAAAAATCTATGAATATGTATGAGGTTATATTAAGGTGGGTCTTTATCACGATTTTCAGTTATTTTATTCACCGCAAAAAATTTAGTAAAGGACATTAAGTTATCAATATCAAGATTACAAAATAAGACAGTAAGGCATTCATCTTTGGTATCTTGTACGATAACAGACAAAAAGTCGAATTTTGTTAAAAGTTGACATTTAACATATGATTAAATCATTTCTTATTCTTTCATTGTGACATAAAGAAGAAAGCAATTTTCTGATATTTTGAGAACTTTCGAGGAAAGGACGTTTAAATGAAAGTTAAATTGCAAACAAATATAATCCATCAAATATTATCTGGCAAAGTATATTCATCTTACATTTGAATGAACACATCAACTATTCGTGTTTCAATTCGACTTTATGTCGTATATACTTGTATGTCGATAGTTGAATATAAAAGTTCTACAAAAATGATGAATGATTTTGTTTATGGCTATAACGATTCAGGATGACAATTAAGTTAATATAAGAAGAACGTTTTATTGAAATAATGTGCAACATTACTCAAAATCTGACATGTATATGTTCTTCCACAGATATTATTCGCCGTTAAACATACTTTAATTGAAGAAAAGAATATGCAAAATTTATCATAATTAAAAGAAATTACAAAACATGAGCACGCGGAAAAGTAAAACACAAAAATCTTCTTGTACTTTGCAAATTATATTATCATCTCTATCTAATGATAAAGTTGCTTTATAAAGTAACATAGAACAATTTTTACTCGCTGTTTACACATGTATACATGTACTGTTTTTCCAAAAATCTATATTTAGAATAATTACACTGTTGAAAAATGGACACAAGGTTAATGATATATAAAAATTGACTTAAACACCAATTTGTTGATAATTTATATATCTATTTATCCGTCATGCGGTCGAATTTCAACATATATACTTTTTTTACCGATACTAAGTAGATTTTTGTTTTTTTGACATTTGTGAGATTAAACGATGTTATTTTTATCTGTAGTTTGTTTTTCCAATGGATAAATTCATTATCTATTTTTTGGTGAATATTTCTTTATCTTATTAGCATCGGTTTAGTTAATTAATATTTTTAGTTAATTAAATGTTCGACCTTCCAACACGTTGTGTAAACGTTCTACCTTGTAAAAAAATATCAACAAATTGGTGTTTAAGTCAATTTTTATATATCATTAACCTTATGTCCATTTTTCATCAGTGTAATTATTCTAAATATAGATTTTTGGAAAAACAGTACATGTATACATGTGTAAACAGCGAGTAAAAATTGTTCTATGTTACTGCAGATTTTGAGGTTTAATTAAATGAATATCAAGGTAAGTGCATCTTTTATTATTTATGCTATTTTTGTTCATTATTTTTTTCTGATATGTTGAATGATTATCGTATTTATGAAATAAATGGGACTGGTTTATAAATAAAATGGCAGGCATCTGGGTCGGG